TTTTTTTTTTTTTTTTTTTTTTTTTTTTTTTGGTTTTTTGAGACAGGGTCTCACCATGTAGTTGAGACTGACCTGGAACTCACTATGTAGCCCAGGCTGGTCTCGAACTCACAGCAATCCTCCTGTCTCAGCCACCCGAGTGCTGGGTTTATAGGCGTGTACCACCATGCCTGGCTTGGGTTTGGAGTTTGGAGTGTGAGAAAGTTCTTAATTACAGATTCAATTTCTGGAGTAAACTTTATGTTTTGGATCATTCAAATAATTAGTTTTATATAAATTGTCAAATTTATTGGAATAAAATTGTTCATAATATTCCCTTGTCCTTTTTGTATGTTAATCTGCAGCAATGTCACCTCTCTCATTCTTGCTATTTGTATCTTCTCCCCTTTTTCTGTGGAAAGACCACTGAAGTTTATTATTTTTTTCTCAGAAGCAGCTTTTTGTTTTAAAATTTTTTTAAATTGATTTTTTAAAAAACTGATTTATCTGTTTTTCATTTCTTTGATTTTCACAGTATCTTTAATATTTTCCTTTTATTTCCTTGCTTTAAGTTTAACTTGCCCTTTTTTCTCCCTACTTATTTAAAGTAGAAGGCAAGTTCACTGATTTGAGATAGTTCTTATTTTCTACTACATACATCTAGTATTATAAATTACTCCCTACTGCCTAGCAACATCCCATACATTTTATGTTTTATATTTATTTTCAAATCCAAAATACTTTACAATTTCTCTTTAATTTTCTCCTTTGATCCATGGATTTAAAAGTGTTTTATTTTCTAACTTTGAGGATTCTCCAGATTTTTTCTAATATTAATTTTTAATTTAATTCCATTGTGGTCAGAGAACATCTTTTGTATCAGTTGAATTCTTTTAAATCTGTCAAGGCTTGTTAATGTCCTAGAATATATCTCTTTAAAAATGCTCCATGTGCATTTGAAAATATGTTCTGTTCTTTTGGGTAGAGCATTTGATTATTGTCAGTTATTTGGTAGACAGTTTAATTTAAACCTACTGTATCTTGCTGATTTCCAGTCTATTTTCTCTACTAACTATTGAGAAAAGAGTACTAAATTCTCTGACTATAATTGTAGATCTATCTCTTTCTCGTTGCAGTTCTGTCAGTATTTTTATTTCATGTATTTTGAAGCTCTGTTTTTATTTTCATAAGTATTTAGGATTGCTACTCCTCTTGATTAACCATTTTCATCATGAAATAGCCTTCTTTATTCCCTTTATTTATTTATTGGTACTGGGGATTTATTGGGTACTTGGGTCCTTGCACTTGCGAGGCAGGTGGCAGTACCACTGAGCTAAATCCCTGGCCCTCTTTGTCCCTTTATCAGTCATATTCAACCCGAGAAGCATAACTTGTAGTAAATTGTGTACATACATAAATACTTATTATGGAAAATAGGCTTACATGAATATAGGAATTGGTCAGGCAGTCTTACAATGCTCTGTGTCTGAATCTGATGCTGGAGTTTGATGTTGACAAGGCAGTCAGGAAGGAAGGAAGATGGGAATAATGTGCGGAAATCAAGGTCAGGCTGAAAGTCACAGTGCAAGGTGAACCTCATGAAAATGGACTGAAACCCATATCTATTCTGTTGCCCTTGACCCTGGCAGTGAGGATATCCTACAATAGCTGGAGCTACTCACCATGGAGCTAAAATACATCTGGTCCATGAATCAGAGACACTTGAGGATGTAGAGGAAGGTGCAGCAGTTGCAGGTCAAGTTACTGTTTATGTCAACACAGCAAGTAAGCAGTCACCAACAACACATGTGAGCTACAAAGTCACTGCCATTTCCCTTCTACTTTATATATCTCACAAAAATTTTTTTTTTCTGTTTAACCCAAACCAGAAACACAAAAGAAAAGAATTCTAGGAAAAGAAGTTCATCCTAGCCAAGTTGACACATTATAAAGTCTATCCCTTGTCAATTTCATGCAAAACATGTTTCTTTAGATCATATTTAATCTCCAAATTATAACAATAACAAGACATGCTTCCACCAAAATGGCACAATTACCTATCATATAACCATTAATAGACTAACCCTTTCCCTGGAAGAAGATACAAAAAACTCCTTTTGGTCCATGAATGATGTTCATTTTTCTAATAATACTCTTACTTTAATATCATGTACTTATATATCATAAGCTTATATAGTGAGACATAAAACTAGCTAGTATTAATATATGTTATGAATGATGATAAGAGGATAAGCGAGGAAGATACAGAAATTTTCAAAGGGCTCTCAAAAGAAGCTGAGAGTATATTATTGCCCACCAGGAGGTTCTTTTCAGATTCAGTTATAGGCCACCTTTGGGGTCTTCCTTTTCTCCTCCCTTTCTCCCTCCCTCCCTGCCTTTTTTCCTTCTTTTCTCTGGGGATTCAGCCTACCCCAAAGCCCATCCACTGGGCTACACCCCAAGTCTTACCCCCACTTTTAAAAATTTTTACAATTTTGAGACAGGGACTTACTAGGTGCCCAGGCTGGTTCCCAATTTGTGATCCTCCTACTTCAGACTCCCTGAGTAGCTGGGATTACAGGTGTGAACCATCACGCTTAACAGCATCAGATTTTTCACAAAGAATGAATTTCAGCCTAAAAATCAATCTTTAGTTTTGGATAAAAAGTAAACTGAGGGCTGGGGATTTAGCTCAGTTGCACCGTGCCTACCAAGCAAGCCTAACGTTCTGAGTTTGATCCTTGGTACCAGAAAATAAAGTACATTGAAATTGTAAATCTACATAAAAATTAACTTTCCTTTGCTCAAATAAATATCAATAAGTTGGCTGATGCTGTTTTGAATGAGATTTTAACTATGGAGAATAAGACATCTTTGACATATTAACATTGTGTTCAGTTAATTTTGACTTTCTAAAAATCATAAGCAGTGCTCTAAACTCAGATTCTGAAAGTAGAATAATGGCTGATATAATCAAAGCACCCAAAGTTTACTTTGATAGAGGTGAGCAGATTTATATCAAGAAACACCAAAATTCCCCAAGACCTTTTATCAGATAATTTCTTTTCCCTTCAGTGAGGACATTGGTATCAGTTTGAAAAAATCTTCAACTCTTAAGTAATTGAAAATCAAGTGGTTTAAACAAATCTTAGTTTATACTTAGCACATTGTGCCCTCCAAAAGATATGGTCACATCCTAACTTTGTGTATGTGAATGTGAGTTTATTTAGAAATAGGATTTTTGCAGGTATAAGTTAATATGAATTACGGTGGGCTGTAGTTCCATGCTGATGTCCTTCTAAGAGACAGGGTCTCACTATATAGTTGAGAATGACCTGGAGCTCACTATGTAGCCCAGGCTGGTCTCAAACTCATAGCGGTCCTCCTGCCTCAGCTTCCCGAGTGCTGGGATTACAGGCGTGCGCCATCATGCCTGGCTTGTACTGAGGCTTTTAATTGCCAAAGTACTGGTTGCCTTGAAGAGACTTCTGATAGAAGTATGTACATTAAAAGTAATCTGAGCCAGGCATGATAGTGAGTGCCTAGACTTCCAGCACTCTAGGAGGCTGAGGCAAGAAGATCACAAGTTTGAGCCCAGCTTTGGCAACTTAGTAACTTAGCAAGGCCTTGTATCCAAATAAAAAAATAAAAAATAGGGCCGGGGATTTAGCTCAGTGGTACTGCTGCCTGCCTTGCAAGTGCAAGGACCTGAATTCAATCCCCAGTATCCCTCCCCCCAAAAAGTAAAAAAGCTAAGGATGTAGCTCAGTGTGAAGGTTCTGGGTTCAAGTCTTGGTAGGGGGAACAATTGAAAAAAGGTAATTCTGGCTAGGGTTCATATGAAAGTGAAGAGGACACTGGAGAAAGCTTCTATCATCTTAGAGAATACATAGATATCATCCTGAACAGAAAGCTGCTAAAAATAATGAACAGTAAAGATACTTCTGATGAGATCCTAGACAGAAATGAGGAACATATCTGCTATAAAGCAGTGGTGGTGAACCTATGGCACTCGTGCCACAGCAGGCTGTTTGTATCATTGAAAGCTCTAAAAGGTTCGCCATCACTGCTATAGAATAAATAAACAATTGTGTTTCTCCTGAAAATTCTTATGTTGAAATTGCACATATAGTAACAGAGATGAATTTCACACATCATGTCAGCCTCAACAAGTACACATTGAATTCTATTTATATAAGGTACAAAGGCCAAACCAATAGCAAATGATTGAAGTTTCTGTGAAATTGCTACCTTTGGTGGTCAGTAGAGGGTAAGGACTTGAAGCTGGCTCAAGGGGAACTTCTAAGGAGTGCTAATGTTCTATTTCATCTACATGCTAGTAACAGTATGTTCAGTCTGTGAACATTAAGCCAAATATACGTGCATTACTTATTTGTAAAAGCAGCATTTACTAACCCATACTATTCATCTGTTCTTCATTCAGAATATCACAACATGACCAAGATGCACCCCCCTTTTTTAACTAGGGCACTCCCCCCGCCATTGGGGATCGAACTTAAGACCCTGCAATTGTGAGGCAGGTGTGGCACCACTGAGCTAAATCTGCGGCCCTAGAGCACTTCATCTTTAACAGAAATATGTATAAGGCAGTAAAAAAATAGAAAACTTTGGGTTTTCATAAAGGAGATGTCCCCTAAAATTAGTATTTTGATTTAACACTTTTTTGATGCTGAAGAAATTTGTACAGCTGAGGATGTCAAACATTTGCTTAGCATGCCCAAGCCCCTTGGTTTAACTCCAGCACTGCAAAATAAATAAATGTAAATAAAAATTTAAAAGAAAAAGAAATTTGTATATTCCCTAGACAATATACCACATAAGAAGGCCTGAACATCTTAAATGAGCATTTCTGGCTAGAAATGTGATTAGAGAGATAGGCAGTTGTCAGAGAAGTAGACTATTTTATTTTAAATGTGTTGAATTTGCTCATATGACCAATGAAGAACCATTAAAAAGTTTTTAGTAGGAAGGTAACACCTTTGACCTTAGTCTGATCATGTGGTAGTGGTGGCTTGGGTTGGAGTGACAACACTGAAGATGGAAAGCACAGGGATATGCTATAAGTGTGTTTGGGAGATACCTTATAGTCACCTCTAGTTAGTCACACTTGTGTAATCTCTTCCTCTTGAGTGTGAGCAGAACCTGTGACCGGCTTCTGACCAACAGAATATGGCCATGGTGATGGGTGGTCCCTTCCTTGATTAGGTTTCTTTATATGGCAAAGGAGAGGCATATTGTGTTAAGCAATTAAATTTGTGGTAATGCAGCACAGCAAGTAATACAAAAAAAGAAAAACTAATATAGATTGTTAGTGACATCAGTGGAGTGCCATTGTATCAAATACCTTAAAAATGTGTTCTTAGAGCAAGGCATTAGAGAAAGGCTAGAGGAATTTTGAATCCAATAGAGAAAGCCTAAATCACCTTGGTCATTTAAAAGAAATCTAGACTTTAAGGATTATACTGATACGGGCTCCTTTTAGCCTCAGAACTAAATTGACTTCTCTGTTCCAGCCTTTTCTAGAGCTCACCTCTGGCATGTTTGTTTTTTGCCCAGGTATTTTCCTTCCCACTGAGCATTTGCTATATATATCCTGTACAGATGAATGAGGGCAAGTTACGGGATTCAGGAACAAAATCCCTTTCCATATTCTACCAGAATGGTAGACAAGAAAGGGAGGCACAAAGGGAGTAGTGATCCCCTGAGAGATTAGAAGCTACCCAGAGGAATGCGATGTTGACATCACTGATTCAGGGCTATTAAAAGCCTGGATTTAGCAAAAGAGAAGTCATTTATACAAGGGGGAAAAGTTTTAAGTAGAGTGTGGGACAGAGTCCACATTGAAGTAGTATGAGAATAAAATAAAATGGGGTGTCTGGAAGTGGAGAATTAATCATAGATACTTCTTTAGCTGAAGAAGAGAAAAGAAAAGTGATAGTAGAGTTTAGAGATGAAGTTTTGGTTGGCTGGTGCTTGATAATATTTAAGATAAAAATATGTAATATGTGAAACATGGTAGGAAGAATCCAGGAGCAAGAATAGACAACACAGGAAGAAAATGAACAATTGATGGTGTACGATTGATAGAGTAGCTGGTGAAGGGAATGGGACCCAGGGCACAGTTGGAGGAATAGGCCTTTGAGATAGGAGGAACCCTTCTTCTAGTCTATCAAAGAGTGGTAGGGGACATTGGGAGCAGGCTCAGATAGTTTAGTGGCCATCTGAGATTGTTATAAACCAAAAGTTTACATTCACTAGGGAAAAAGATGTTATACAGTCATTTAAAAATGAGGGGTAGAGAGAGGAATTGAAGATTTGAAGAGAGTGGAAATGCTTTTAAGTAGTCTTTGTCCAAAGTTTGAGCCGGCTAGAAAATAGTATGACTGGCAAACAATACTGAGTGGCCTGTAGTCTTACCATAGTTTTTGTGATTCTTAAATTCCTAGCTTTGTGACTAGCATTCCATAGGCTCTATAGAAATCACAACCACAGCACTACAGCACAGCACTGAAGATCAAAGTTAAAGACATTATCCTAGGTATGTATCACTGTCTCCTTTCCCGGACAGATATTTGTATTAATCTGTTCATGAAACAATATTTGTATTCATCTGTTCATTAAATAGTGGTGGAATTTATAGATTAAGAAATGTGTTGCTGCTGGGTGTGGTGATACAATCCTGTAATCTCAGTATTTGAGAAGCTGAGGGAGGAGAAACACTGAGGCCAGCCTGGGCTATATAGTGAGTAAAAGGCCAGCCTGAACTACACAGTGAGACCTCCTCTCAAAACAAAACAAAACAGGGTTGCTAGCTCCTTCAAAGGAATGAACAGATGGGTAATGTTCTGTGTATAAACCGTATGCATTTTAAAAATGGAAGTCATTTTGACATTTCTTATCTGATCTACTTCATTAAAGTAGAAGATAATTTTAGTCTTTTTTTGGAAATTTTTAATTTGATAAACTTCATTAAAAATCTGTTTAAGGGCTGGGGATTTAGCTCACTGGCACCACGCCTGCCTCGAAAGTGCAAGGTCCTGAGTTCGACACCCAGTACAAAAACGAAACAAAAACAAAGTTATGTTTATCTGTTTTACTCAGTGAGTTATTATTACACTTCCCAGTGTGGTAGCTTCTAATCACATGCAGCACTTTGTGTAACTTAATTCAAGTTCAATAAAATGAAAAACTTATTTCCTCAGTTTCTGTTTCATCAACCATAGTTAAGTGATTAATAGCTTCACGTGGCTAATGGCTTCCACTTTGGATATGCAGGTATAGAACATACCTTGAAAACCTGGTACAGTATTCCCTTCCAGTCACTGACCTGATAGTACTGTCAGGGACTGAAAGAAACGTAACATCCGGCTCTGTGTTTAAAGTCACCTCCTCTTTGCAGGACCCCTCGCGCCGGCCACAGAGCTGCAGTCTTCCGGTTTTCCTAGAGGGGCGCGTCCACCCCACTTCCGGTGCGCGCAGCGGAAGGCCTCCCTGCTAGTTCTGTAGGGTCTGGGCTCGTATCCCAGGGAAGGGTGAGTGGGCGGTTGGGGCATCGCTGTTCCAGATCCTTCATAAACCTTCCGATTCGGCCGCCCTCGCCCGCTTCCACCACGGGTGAAGCCTGTGGCTGTACCAGCGGTGCGCCTGGCCTGGCACCAGGGTACCTGTCGGCCGCTGGTCCGCCCGACCTTCCTTTCAGCGCTCCCCCACCGGCCCTTCGCTCCATCGACTCCTGTAGCGTCCCCGGCCCCGCCTGTTTGCCGGGCGACTGCAGCCTTGGGTCAGGGCTCAGCCATCCGTCTTGGCTTCTCCAGTTTGGGCGAGATCTTTAATCAGGCACTTCGAGAGCACTTTCGTTTTGTACTTTTAAAAACACAACTGAGTTAGGTAATTATGTGTGCTTTTTACTTAATGCGTGCTTCCCATTACTTTTAAGTATTGTAATGGCGAGGATAGTATCTTCATAACTCTTTGCTTAATAGCTAGCACAGTGTCTGCACAGATCGGCCCTCATTAAATATTATTCAAGAAATGTGTGAAAAAACGCAGTCCCTCATCTAAACGCACTTTGGTTTGGTTGGGAGTTAAGGTGTGAAATGGCATTATAGCAGAGTAGGCATCCAAGAGTATGGACCTTGGCGTCAGACCATTTAACCTAAGAATAGTCCAGACTCCTTCACTTACAGGCAGTACTCCCTGGGACAAACTGCATGTGTTTTTTTCTGTTCAACAGTTGAATTTAAGCCATAGAATGATGTGAAGATAAAGTGAATTAACAGCTCTTAAAGCAGGTACTGGAGTGTGCAGTAAAGGCCCAGTTGATGTTTTCTCTTACAAAGATACGTGCCTCTGCAAGCAAGATTGTCCAGCAGTGCTCTGGAGGTTTCCTCTGGGTTGCTGGGACAAACAGGACCAGGGATTTGCCTTCCCTCAGGGTGAGGGGCCGTACCCAAGCTCAGGGCTTCCCACCTTTCCAGCTCCACATCCCACAGGTATGGATAGCTGGTTTCCTAGACTACTTCATAAACAAATGACAGCTAAATCTAGGCATCTGATCCAAAGCAGTCGGTTTATACCTCCATTGGCTATGTTCTCAAATTTGAACACAAGAAGGCTGTGGGAGCTCTCCTCTTAGACATCGGAGCACCTCTCCAGATTTCCTTTATGGCGTGATGGAAGAATCGAGGGACTTGTGCTTTCTTTTACTGGCTGGTAAATTTCCCCATTAAAGTCTATTCCATAACCCATGGCTTGTGATGTGGAATTTGCCCTTACCTTGCCTCATGTCTGGTGTGCCTTGAGTATTTACTCTGGCCCAGTTGTTTTAAAGTGTAGATTTTGTTATTATTTAGGTGTTATGAGAACAGATCAGGAGATGATTGCTGTTGAAAAGATAGTTTCTTACTGTCAGTTTTCAAGAGAAGGGAACATTTCTTGGCAGGGAAGTGTCAAGGAATAGTCAGGAGGCATAAGGAGGGGAGAGTGATCAAGAGGTTCTTCTGTGATTTCTGTGTGAAGGGAACAATCAAGGCAGGATAAACAAGTTTCGTTTGGCTAGTTTGAAAACTTTCAGTGGACTCTGAGGCACTGAAGTTGTCCCTAGTCATTTGGTACCTGGTCCTGAAGTGACTAGGACAGGACTGTCCTGAGTGTGAGAACCTGATAGGGAAGGTAGCAGTGGTGTGGGCTCAGGGTCTGTTGGTTTCCATTTGAAAGGTATGCTCACAGGTGAGTTGTTTACCATCTCTAGGAATTGACTAGCCTTGGGAGTGACATCCAGTGTCATTAAGGACCCAGATGTCAAAGCCTTGGAATAAAGACATGTTTAATATACCAAACAGCGCTATTCTGATGTTTTATGTTATTTCCAAAATCTACAACTGCAGCATTACATTATTAGCTCCATTTTTAGGAGGGGAAATGGGATCTCAGAGAGCTTCATTAGTGACTAATGTCCCACATCTAGTAAGAGACTGCATGGTGATTCCAACTCGGGTTACCTGAGTCCAAAGCTGGTGCTCTTTCTGTGAACTAGGTCACTTCCCTGTAGTATAAAATGCTGTGGGGACCTTTTTAGTCCACATTAGCAATTTGACAATATTGTGTTGATCACTACCTCTTTGAAATTCTTTGACTATGATTCTATCCATTCTTATATATAGAATGTACTATGTATCATATATTAGATCAAGTGATGGGAGATACAACAGTGAGCAAATAACACTGGTATATTGTAGCTCAAGACATTGCAGTCATGGATAAAACAAGTATTAGCCAAATAGTCCCCAAAAGTCACTGACAATGTGAGAGAAACACTTTGAGGAAAAGAAACACAATTCTCTTTAATCTTGTTTCTGATGACTCCTTGACTGATCCAGCATTCTCAACCCTGACTGAACTTCAGAATCATTTGCAGAATGTATTACAAATACAGGTGTTGGGTCCACAGCTAGGAGATTCTGAATAGGCTGGAGGGCATTTCCCGGTGAATGAAATGAGTGCAATCAGAGAGAGCATCACCTTGGCTAAAATGTTTTTGTTTTTGCTTTTCAAAAACTGGTCAGAGGCCTATGGAGAGAACACGTGTAGGCGTTCCTATCTGTAGCCCCAGCTGAGCTTCCTGCCATCAGCTGGATTCAGTTACTAGTCAGTTACTAGTAATGAACCATGGATACCCAGGCCGACAGAACCATGAAGTGTCTCCAGACTGGCCGACAACAGATTACAACCACATCAAGGATCAAAAGTTGAAACCAACAGCTGGCCCCGTCAGTAAACATGACTGTGAGAGAATATTCTTTTTAAGTCGCCAAAAACAAAACAAAAATACTGGTCAGAAGAACATGATCAGATTTACAATTTGGAAAAGATCACTGGCTACAACATAGATAACAGATTGATGGGGACTGAGTGCATGTGGGGAAGCCAGTTGGTGACTTTTTGTGTAGTGTGAGATTAGATGGCTGCAGGGATAAAGCTGGTGATGATAGAGAGGAAGAAGGGCAGATTTTAGAGATTGGAAATAAAACAGTAGAACTTAATTTGCATTAAATAAAGGAAGGAGGTAGAAGAAAGGATGTTAGGGATTCCTTCAGGTTTCTGACCTACACTCAGATGGATACTCCTCTCTGAGAGGGAAGTACCTGAAAGAAAGCAGGTTTGAGGTGGGAGGAATCATGAATTGTTGAGTTTAAGAAATTCAGGAGTTGTGGTGAGAGTGAACAACTGTGTAAACAGATCTGGTGGATGGTAACAAGGTGAGGTAAGGTAGGTTAGGAGGAAAGTAGAGTGTTAAAATAGGGAAATTAATGGCTGAACTTATGGAACTCTGGTGAGTGGACTTGTGAAGGAGGTGAGGAATGAGCGAAGATGATTCTTTTATGGTTATAAACTTCCCTTGGCCACACACCCATGAAGGACAAGTTGGTAAGGCATATTATCTATAATAAAAATTGAATAATATCACAGATATAGGAATTAAAAGGTGAGACATAACACATTAGTGATCACTAAGTGAAGGATCCACATCAATGTGGTGCAGCCCTGGTAAAAGCTGTCTGCATATCCATGCACAGATCTGACAAGTCATCATTTCTCCATCTCTTAAATCCCAGTTTTATATAATAAGACCTAAAGAGCTACTTGGGATGCTGTGCCAGAAAGATTGCAAGTTTGAGGCCAGCCTTAGTGAGACCCTGTCTCAAAATAACTAAATAGGGCTGGGCACATAGTTCAGTGCTTCCTAGGTTTAGTCTCCAATACTGAAGAAAAAAACTAAAGACATGTATTTAGTATTTTTGTTATACTAAAATATTAAGAAGAAACTTAGCAAGTTCTGTGTGGAATATAGAAAGCATCTTTTACTGTTTGGCAAAGCACAGTTTAGGAAATGCTGCTTTGTAAGCGTCTCAGCTTTAATTTCCTTAATGAATAGCTGAGTAAAGGACACCAGCACCCTCCAATCATCAGGGACAGCCAGAAACTGGAGTCTTTCACTCTTTGCTCTTCCAAACCCTTTCTAGTGTACCCCAGTGTCCTGTCAAGTCTGTTTATTTATTTTGGCTCCCACAGCTCAGGCTGACCAAATGGTTGCGTCAGACTTTCCATGTTTTCCACATCACTCTTCCTCCAGACATTCCTGTGGCCGTAGGAATCCCCTGCCCCATTCCAGACTCTCGATGGGCTGGCTCTTCCTCTACAGGAGCCTCTTCTTGCACTAATCCTTAACTACATTCTAGGCTCTAGAGCAGGATTCTTAACCTGGCTACACATCAGAAGGACTTGGGGGACTTACTGCAGCCCCACTTTGGGCTTCCCTTCCTAAACATTTCACCATCATTCCAAATTTGCAGCAACAGCCAAGATTGTCCTTGGCATAATTAATCCATTCTGCAATAAAAGGAGCTTAAGAAAAGGAGCTTGAGAAATCCTAGGTTCATGTCTTTGATCAGTTTGGGGCCTTGGACAAATTATAAACTTTCAAGAAGCTCAATTTCTTCATCTGTTAAACATGGGCATGATAATACTGCACTGTTATTGTCAACCCCACTAAAGTAGAATTTGTAAGCTGCCTGGCCTATAGTAAATGTTTATTAAGTATGTGTTCCCTTTTTTTGAGGAGAATCCATTCTATACTAGCAAGAACTAAGTATTTCACCTGCAGAACCCAGTTGTGCTGCTCACTTCCTGTGTGGCTCTGATTATCTTATGATTCTCAGTAGCCTCATTTGCTGAAGGAGCATAATTGTGATTGTCCTTATAGAGTACTATTTCTTATCCCTAGTGTCCCTAACATTATTACTACAGGTTGAATTGATTTCAACTATTCTAAAATTTTGTTTCAAAAAATCTTGAATCGTCTAAGATAGATCATTTATATGGAAGTTGTCTTCTTGTCAGTTTTCTTTACAGTGCTATGTTCCCCGGTACCTGGCATTCAAAAACTTGTATTTACATTCCAAGCATCTATGTAACATGAGCACTGTTGGCCTCAGGGACATCCTGAAGAGCGGAATTCAGAAGGAACTCCTCAGATACAAGGCTTCACCAATTCCCAAAAGCTGGGCAGGCTTTTCAACTCTTTCTGCCCAGAATGTCAGGAGAGGCCACAGCCTTGGCCTACTATGCTCCAAAAGAACAAGAAGGACTTACAGTTGTGAAGGTTGAAGAAGAGAATTATGTTTGGGGTCAGGACTTTGTCCTTCAGGGAAACCTCCAGAGTCAGGAGGTCTTCCGCCAGAGGTTCAGGCAGTTTAGTTACTCTGATTCTGCTGGACCCCGGAAGGCTCTGAGACAACTCCAAGAGCTTTGCTATGGGTGGCTGAGGCCAGAGGTGCACACCAAGGAGCAGATCCTGGAGCTGCTGGTGTTGGAGCAGTTCCTGGCCATCCTGCCGGAGGAGCTGCAGGCCTGGGTGCACAGGCACCGGCCAGAGAATGGAGAGGAAGCTGTGACTCTCCTGGAGCAGCTGGAGAAAGAACTTGATGAAACAAAGCAACAGGTAAGAAATAGGTGTTTTTATTTGTTGTTTGATCTATTGTAATTTAATGCCATTATGAGTGGCGCTAACTAGGCTCTCAGGGAATTAATCAACTTTTGTCTTTTGATGTATTATTTACTTATTGGTTCAAGTTACAAGGGGTTTTAGTGCTGTTGTTTCTCTGTAATAATCTAAATAAGTTTCTGATTTCCTCCTGTCCTACCCCGCTGCTCTAGGCATTTGCATCTTGTGTAGCCTCAGATTCACGGTGTTAGTGCTTGATTACTCCTAGGATACAGCTGATGGCCAAAAAATGATCTGGAAAGAAATGACACCCATGGGAGCACTGACATCTCTGAGCAGCTTATCACAGCCTTTAGTGAACCAGTGCAAGAGTGAGACTCAGGAACCTCAGGTGTTCCATGAGAAAGGTAAGGAGCCCCAAACCATTTAGGGTCAAGGATGGAACTGATTCTGCATGCTTTTCTGATTTATACATCTAAGGTCAAAGTTTTTCTCTGGTTTCATACTTTTTTGTGTGTGACACTGGATATCGAACCCATGGCCTCACACATTCTAGGCAAGTGTCTTACTGCTGAGTTACACTCTTTTTGGTTTTTAGTTTTACTTTGAGGTAGAGTCTCACTATTGGAGGCTGATATTCTTCAACTGCCTAGAAAGGGGAATGTTGAGGCCTAAAGAAAAAAAGACAATAGAGACTTGTGTAATTTCAAAGTATCAGAGGGGCTGGGAAGTCAGTGCCTCAGAGTGGGCAAAGACCAAGACTCTCCGTACTAGCCAGCATTTATTGAGTACACACAATAATTGGAGGGAGTATCAGGTGACTTAGGGGAGTGGGGATCCTATGTTGGTGCAAATCTCATGCTGATGATGGTGAAAAGTAGAGCATTCCCAGGACAGTAAGTGGATGAATTAAGCTGAGAAGCACTCTGTCCCTCCCCAGGTGAAACCTTTCTCCTTTGTGTTACTGCTGGGTTCTCTAGGAACCAGGATGACTTCAGTGATGTAATCTTGCCTTTGAGCACCACAGCATCACAGACCATTGAGACCTCAGCTGTGACCTGAGGCAGGACAGAGTTATGTTTTCACATGCCATAGCTGGCTCATGGGCAAGACAACATTGGGCCTAAGACAGCTATACTCATACTTTCATTATGAAAAGATTTCCCTCCAAGTTTATGTAGAAATGCTCCCAACACTAAGTTATTTAGCCTGGCCTCAAACTTGTGAATCATCATTCTGCCTCAGCATCCTGAGAAGCTGGGACTCAAGCATGCACTACCATACCTAGCTCAGTTTCATAATTTGACTTCATGTAGTTACTTACAGACTTTGAAGACGTATTTTAAATTCTGTAAGTTATATTGTTCTATGTGTCTTATTCTATTGCTTATATTTATTTGATCCCCTTGGAATTTTCCAAAATGCAATTGCCTTCCTGCTTTTTTAGTTCCTGTCTACCTACTCCTACCCAGTACTAACCCCCCAAATTATATCTTCTGCTCTCCTTCTTTGGTAGAGATGCAAGACTTTGGGTATTTTCACCCTGCTTATTCTCTTCTCCTATAATCCAGAGTTGTCCTTCCCAGTTTCTCACTGATGCTATTTGTTACCTAGTGTTTTTCCTGGTTCGCCATTACTCCCCTCCAATACTGGCTATCATTTATTGTCTTCTCTTTGAGAGGGCTACCTCTCACTACCCAAGGCTACTGATTTGTATTCTACATTGAGAAGCTAGTTCTAAGAATTTTTCTCCTAGTAGATAAATGCCTACTTTATTTGGTTTATATTCTACAACAGTACTTTTCTTTCTTCTAACATGGGGACTAAATGACATTTGGCATTTTCTGTTTACAGTTTTAGATGACAAGATGGTGGGTGACAAAGTGTTGGCAGTAAAGCAAGAAATTATTGAACGTGTAGCATCAGCAGCTCTGATATCCCCAGGAAGGCTTCCTGGAAAAACTGCTTCAGGACAGGTATTTGAAGCTTTGGGAGGTCTGGACAACGCTGAGAAGCAGAGGGGAAGTATTGGACAGAACACAATGAATCAGCTCTCTTCCCAGGAAACACCTGTCAGTCTGGCAACCTTCACCAAGAAAACCTCCACAGACAAGAGCATCTTTGAATGCAATGGGAGTGAAGGACATCTCAATCTGAACTCGCATGAAATTACAAGACAGAAAATTCATGCAGGGGAGAAGCTCTATGAATGCTTTGACTGTGGAAAAGCCTTTTGCCAGAGCTCAAAGCTGATTAGACATCAGAGAATTCATACTGGAGAGAGACCTTATGCCTGTACAGAATGTGGCAAAGCTTTTAGCTTGAGCTCAGATCTTGTTAGACATCAGAGAATTCACAGTGGTGAAAAACCCTATGAATGTTGTGAATGTGGAAAAGCTTTCAGGGGCAGCTCAGAGCTCATTAGGCATCGGAGAATTCACACTGGAGAAAAACCATATGAGTGTGGTGAATGTGGGAAAGCCTTCAGCCGGAGTTCAGCCCTTATTCAGCATAAGAAAATTCATACTGGAGATAAAGCATATGAATGTATTGAATGTGGCAAGGCTTTTGGGAGGAGCTCTATCCTTATTGAACATCAAAGAATTCACACTGGAGAGAAGCCTTATGAATGTAATGAATGTGGAAAATCCTTTAATCAGAGCTCAGCCCTCACTCAACACCAGAGAATACACACTGGGGAAAAGCCTTATGAATGTAGTGAATGTAGAAAAACATTTAGGCATAGGTCAGGCCTTATGCAGCATCAGAGAACACACACCAGAATCTAACACTGTGGGTAAGAGTTGTGCAACTGTGAAATACAAGGAATTCACTTTAAGGTAAAGACTCAGAAGTTTCTGTTGAGCAGTTTGTTTTTCCAGCCCAGTTCAGTGCTGTAAGAGGAGATCCATACCACAATGTAGGATTGTTGAATGGAAGAATGGTGGGTATTTCCTAGAACTGATTTCAGGATGAGGACCTCACACTGAAAGAGCTCCTTATAATATGGCAAGGATCTTTGCCCAGCCAGGGCATTTGTGCATTTTGAGGTGGAGCCATGTGCTAAATTGAATTATATGGTATGTGAAATGTTGAATTATGCTCTTGATCAGTTTAATGGCATCTAAGGCTGTTAGTATTATCCAAGGAATGGTGGTTCATTCTGCCCTAGAAATTCTTCCTACAGCTTTGAGCTTCCTGCTGAAGTTGATTCTGATCCTGTGTGTTGAGTACCTGCTCTGTTTAGCCACTGCCCTTCTATCAGCCTTTAGTTAAAATTTAAGGCTTACCAGTGCAAGATCCTGAGTTCAATCCCCAGTACCAAATACAGACAAACAAAAAACTGCCCAAAACCCCCCAAAACTTAAGGGATATAGCTATTTATTAAATGACTAATCACAGTAAAGTGCATTAAGTGTTTTGCTAGGATAAATCCAGACTTTCGTTGAAGTACATGGCAGGAGCATCTTACCTGGCCTATGAGTCACTAAAGATTTCCCAGATGTGATGACATCGAGTTAAGAAAATTAGACAGGTGAAAGGCACAGGAAAAGAGACAAAGGTTATAAAACATACATGGCATAAAGACAAGAGAGATCTGGAAACATCCCTGTCAGGATTCTACTCCAACAGGAATGAATTCTGACTCTGGTTCAGAAGCCATGTGTTGGTTTCTCTTCCTTTTTATAATCACAAGATTTATAATCACAAGTGAGCTGTGAGGCTTCCACATTCTTAGAATTAATGGGGTAGAAGACTCTGCTGCATTTTCTGGAATTGGCATATATGTACGTCAAGGAAAAAGTACTTAGGAGGCTGGAGGGAGAGTGGGAGATGGGGCATTTGTGTCTCATCACCCTGGGGCTCAGAAAATGGGAAAATTGCAGGAATACAGTAACGGGAATTCTCCCTTCCCAGGCCCCACTATTCCCCATTCCTGCCTTTTTCTCTCAGCACCGGGTTCACTTATAAGCCACTTGAGGGCAATAAACATTTGTTGGGACTAATCCCTCATATTCCTCAAAACTATACTTCCCTGCTAATTTTTATTTTGGCAGTTTTAAATAACAGATTCCTGAAGACAATTCCTGTAAAGCGTAATGTTTGAAAACTTGCTCACCATAGCTATTATGGGTAATAGGGGGGATACTGAGGAGTCTTTGTGTCCAAAGGTTGTGCAAATTACCACCAAACAAAATCAATCCTAAATTTATTTAAAGGGATGCTTTAATGTTATTGCCTAATTGTGAATGCCAGTAATATAGAAAGTATAAGCACCCACAATCCCAAAATCCATAGAACAGTTAACATTTTGGAGTATTTCCTATTAGTATTTTTTCCTTTAATCCTAGTATTTTTGGTAAAAATCTTGGCTAACAAGTAATTTTTGGTAACCAATTTTAACATTTATGTTGAATAAACACTCCAACTGGTCAATATCAGAAAGTAAGATATAATAAAACAAGTTTTAAAAGTTTTCTTTTGGAATTATTCATTCACAAATAGGGAACACAACAAGTGTGGAGAGAGGACAGGGGTCAAGAAAGGGGTGTGGGAAGTCAGAAAAAAAATTTTTTCTTCTTATTCCCTGGGCCAAAAAATATAAGGAAACTATGACAGTCAATCTCTAGGAATGCAATTGACCCGCCTCACAAAATGAACATTTGGGGTTGAGTTGTGGAGAAATCATGAGAATAAGAAAAGTCTCTTCAGACATATACACATTCCATGTCCACTACAATTAGGATTCTCTTTCCTTTGATGGGAGGATTGTTTGCACTAACTGCCGAGTAGGATCACTGGCCTGGAAGACTGCCATGACATCCTTCTCCCTCAGCAAGACCTCAATAAAAACAGAAGCTTAGAGGTACAAATTCCCAATGATGAATGCCATATTGTACACCTAAAATGTACCAATAAACTTAATGAATAAAAAGGGAAAGAAACAAAAGCTTAGAGACCAATCAGATCTGCTTTAAACTTCCAGTCCTCTCAAGACAATAAAAATATACAATGTTAAATTTTTGACCAAAAAAGACCATCTTGTTCAGCTCCTTTCACATAAGCCTCCAGACTTGCAAGGTAACTTGCTTACAGCTGCAAAATTCATGGGAAAGCATGAATGACCAAAGGACTTGAACACGAAGGGTATTGCTTTTCTCAAACATAAATCTTTAGGCATGTAATTTTTATTTGCACAGGGACTTATAATCTGCAGAGGACTTTTTAAATACTATATTTGAGATGGGCAGGTCTACCATTGTTTCATCAATAATGAAACTGGGATGTAGCTCAGTGAAGCGCCGCCTGCCTAGCTAGCATGCCTAAAGCCATGCGTTCAATCATCAGTGGGGAGGGGGAACGTTAATGCAATTGAGGATCAGAGTTAAGTGTGCTAACAAGAAACTTGGGGTGGTTTTTTTTGTTGTTGTTGTTTTGTTTTTGGTACTGGGGATCCAACTTGGGTCCTTATGCTTGCAAGGCAGACACTGGAACCACTAAGCTAAATCCTCAGCCCCCAACAAACTGAGACTTGGAAGGAATAGAGATGCTACAGAAAGCAAGTTTTGTTTTGTTTTAATATCTTCCAAACTATCCTAGGTTTCCATTTATTTTTTTCTCAAAAAGTAATGTTTTTTGGGGGTGCTGGGGGTTAACATGTTAAGTATGCACTCTACCACTGACTTACACTTCCAGCCTTCTTTAGAATACATATAAGCACAACAGAACATTAAATCACTTACACCTCCCATCCAGAGATAACCAGTATAGCACCTTCAGATTGTGTATTTCCAGTACTTTTAATGCATAAATATATATTTTGCATGGATCATATGGTACAGATTATCTTGAAGTAGTTTTAATGATATATCATGAATGCTTCACTTCTGTCAGCATTAATCAACACCAGTTTTAACAGCTTTTACGACTGTACATTCATGATCACTTCTGAAATATATTTCCAGGTAGGATTTCAAGGCAAAGGCAATGCTTAAGGCTTTTGGTGCTGATTGCCAGAGATACTGTCTATTCACATTCTACCAGCAGCACCAGTCCCAATTCCCCTGAATCTTTATCAGTTTTATAACACGTGCTGTCTCAAATCTTGATTCAATACTCTTTTAACTCCTAAGATCGGACATACACGTATTGTTGGTTGGCACTGCTTCTTTTGTGGCTTGTCTATTTAAATAGTTTTCCTACTGGGATTTTTTTCATGGACAAACAGTATAAAGTAGTTCACAGTAGAGCTGAGTTCAAAGTCTGACCTTACCACTTTTTAGCTATGACCTTTAGTCATTTCCTCATCTGCAAAATATGGGGTGCAGTAAGAAATAACTCATACACATAAAGATCTTAGCAAGTACCTCTTACATTCTTACTGATACATGTAGGAACTCTCTAAAAAGTGTATTCCTTTTGCAATATATTCCTATTTAATATCCTATCATTTTCAGTTTATTTCTCTGGAAAAGGAAGAAAGCGAGTTGTATAGCTCTTATATATTTTGTTACATTCTACCATAGTTCCAAATGATACCATTCTTCCCTTTTTCATTTCTCCCCAAACACGGGCATTTAGCTTTCTTGCAATTCTTACTGGCCAGCACATACTCACCTATATACATTCAAGAGGAGTGTTACTTCTTATCTTCGTGAAAATTCTTTTCCTATGCACAGGATTCTGGATTTCTACATAGATTTTTGGTATGTCATTTCTCCAACCCGTTAGGCTTATTGAATGTGTGTTTTTCTGCTGCTGGTTAACATGTACAACTTTCCACCTCACACCAGGCAACAGAATAAGATGCCTGGTTAATGTGTACAACTTTCTCCCTCACACCAGGATCCAGCATAAGGCTCCTCAGAAGAGGAGAAATCTTGATGGAACATGATTGTTATCTCCTGTTTTCATTTCTCTTTAGCACTGTCTTTAACAAAATTTGCAGAAGTTACTGTGAAATATAGCTGATATTAGGACAGAACCGAATGTGTGAGGTGCCTGGAGAATAACTCACAGGCCCAGCCACTAACAAACCTTTTTATTTTTTGGTACCAGGGATTGAACTTGGGACCTTATACTTGCAAGGCAGGCAGCAGAACCACTGAGCTAAATCCCTGGCCCCTGACAAATACCTTTTGAGCAGGAGAGCCCACGGGAGTATACTAGGAATTGTGGGGCTGTCCCTTCAGAAATAAATGTTACAGCAGCTCCCAACATATAGTCTTGGGGATTACCCTGACGGCAGGTCCAATATTGTCTTAGGAAACAAAGAAGACTTACATTTAGGAGAGGGAGATTTAGACCTCTAAAGGACTCCTACACATCTAGGCTAGGTTCTTTCATACATCTACACCCATTACCTCCCTATGGAAATTCTAGCCTATTGTAGAGGTTGGGAAAAGAACACAAACCACCTATTAGCTCTTCTCCTTGGGTCATACTGAGCAAGACAAAGTTCCTCACCATGCTGTGGTCCAAGGGCTCTAGGTTTTGTCTATTAATATAAACTTCTCCATTTGTTTTTATTTTGCTATAGGCACTACTTCTGAGGCTACACCTGTATTTCTTATAGATGTGACTCTAATTCAAAAGGAACTTAGCAGGAAATGTTTCATACTTTCTTCTTGGTCTTTATCTATTGGTCCCTCTAATGGGAACATCTTCCCTGGGACTACCACATCCCTGGGTAATCCCTACCCATCCTTGTAAGGCTGAGTCAGGAGTTCCTGATCACAAAGCACTGATCAAACCATTGTGTCATTGCCTGACTGGCTGCCTTGCCCGTTAGATCATAGGGATTATTGTACATCTAGTCTCTCGTAAGAAGCAAGTACTCAAAAAAAAACAAACAACAAAAAAAACAAACAAGCAAACAACCCCCCCAAAAAAGCTTGGATAAATCTGTATTTTTTCTTCTCATACATATTTAATTTCTATCCTGCTCTGGATTCAACAAAACACGGATAAACCATTTCCCTACATTTCTTGGCGATCTGTTTCTATTCTAAATTGGTCCAGTGAAACTTTTTAAGTTCCTAAGACAAAGTCCCTCACACTGTCTACACTATGTCTCAAACCTGGTACACTATCAGCTGCAGTAACAAAGCCTGGATCCCTACATCCTTTTCATGACATTCTCATAGAAAATGAGGCTTCAACATTATACTCCTGTTTTTCCTATTTCCTGAGTACTTCGAACTGTAAAAGAAAAGCTGAAAATTAATATTCTCCCATTATCTGTTCTATTAGTCACAGGAAAAGCTCTCATGGGACAAGTCACACCAGCATTGGGAAATGCTGCACAAAGCAAGCTAGAATGACTCAAGACCTAGTAGTTTACAACTTCGATGGAATCATGCTCCAAAGTAAACCTGTCTGGCTAGTAACAATAAAAATCTGACAGAAGTAATTACAATATTCATTGTATTCACAAGTTACTTCACAGTGTGGACTCTCTGATGGCGAACAAGGACTGATTTGTGCCTGAAAGCCTTTCCACATTCATTACATATATAAGCTTCATCCCCAGAATGGATTCTCTGATGCTGAACAAGGGCTGACCTCCTTTTGAAGGTTTTGCCACATTCATCACACTGGTAAGGTTCCTCTCCACTGTGAATTCTCTGATGTCTGATGAGGTTCGAGCTTAGACTGAAGGCCTTTCCACATTCATTACATTCATAGGGCTTTTCTCCACTATGTATTCTCTGATGGGTAATCAGCTCTGAGCTCTGTCTGAAAGCCTTCCCACATTCATTACATTCATAGGGTCGCTCTCCTGTATGAATTCGTTGATGTCTAATAAGCTTTGAGCTCTGGCTGAAGGTTTTTCCACACTCATTACATTCATAAGGTTTCTCACCAGTGTGAATCCTTTGATGTATAATGAGATACGAACTTTGACTGAATGCTTTGCCACACTCATTACATTTGCAAGATTTTTCACCAGTATGAATTTTCCGATGTCTAATGAGGGCTGAGCTCTGATTGAATGCCTTTCCACATTCACTACATTCATATGCTTTTTCACCGCTGTGGATTCTTTGATGAATAATAAGATACGACCTTAAACTGAAGGCTTTCCCACACTGGTTACATTTATAGGGCTTTTCTCCAGTATGGATTCTCTGGTGTTGTGTAAGAGAAGAATGCTGCTTGAAGCTGTGGCCGCATGTATCACATCTATAAGGTCTGTCTTCTGTAGCAACTTTCTGACTTGTTGCAGAGTTTGTACTTAAAATCAGGCATCTTTGAGTGTCACCAAGATGGTCTCTCTTTCCTAAAGATTTGTGTGTGACGATCACTTGCCTAAAACTGTTCCCATGGGGAGGGGATCTTCTTAAATTCTCCCCGGTAGCACTTCTTTGCTGCCACTCTAAGTTGCTTTCATGCTCACCAATTCCTCCGAATGAAGATTCCTGAGAAAGCTCCTCTGGTTTTTCTCCTGAAATGTTCTCCTTTGCTGCTGTCTGACTTTTCTCACAATCTGAAGTGATAAATAGCAAAAATACCACATTTTACATTTCTTTAGTCACTCTATTTACTTTCTACATGAGAGAAAAATAGATGGGTCTACCTGTAATGATGTCACTGTCTATCTGTAATTTTTCTTCACTTGGTCAATAGGATCTTTAATGGTAATGCCTATACCTACACTTTATTTATTTTTTAGATTTTGTGAGACAGGGTCTTGCTATGTAGTTCATCCTGACCTTGAACTTGCTATGTAGTCCAGGCTGACCTCGAACTCACAGCAATCCTCCTGCCTCAGCTGGGATTACCCAGCATGTGCCACAATGCCTGGCTTATATCTACACTTTTCATTTTATCTTTTTCTGCCTTCTCTGAGATTTACCCATTGTTTTTATTATTTTCAACCTCTTTCATGACTGACTCCTGTTCATATGCATTTAAATAAGCTCAAGTCTCTCTCACTTTTTTAAACCAAGCTCCTCGCCTACACATTTCTCCCAAGCAACCTCACTCACTCCCATTCACATAAAATTTCTTAAAAGGGGTATCTGTACTCATCGTCATTCTGTATATGGTTTCTGCCTTATCCTCTCTATCCCTATCACTTCCTCAGATACTACTCTTGTCAGTATCACCAACCGAACTGCATAATCCAGTTCAGACTTTTCGGATCTTTCATAGTTGGCCTCTGCAGCACTGACACTGGTGACCATACTTTCCTTCTAGAGACATTCTCTTCCAGCCATATGAACTGGACTTTTGTGGCTGGTCCTTCTTAGATGCCAGGACTGGTAACATATACTAGTATTCTTCCTGGTTCTGTTCTGGGCTCTCATGTATCCTCACTGTGCAAACTTCTTACCCCACAGGTTTCAATTACCACTTATATTGTAAGGTAACGCCTCCCCACATCTCCAATCCTATCCCACTTCTATGAATCGCTAGACTCTCATATCCAACTTCCAATGTGGCATTTTTTTCTTTTTTTTTAATGTTGATTATGGCCCAACTTAGTAGTATTTTTCTTCTGGTACTAATTTCTTATCAACTCCTTTTTAAGTTTTTTGAGACAGGCTCTCACTGTGTAGTTGAGACTGACCTTGAACTCACTATGTAGCCCAAGCTGGTCTCGAACTCACAGTGATCCTCCTGCCTCGGCCTCTGGAGTGCTGGGATTATAGGCGTGCGCCACCATACCCGGCTCTGATCAACTTTTAAGATTTCTTATTAGTACATACTTGTAGTACATGATTATATTATGAGGAATTAATAAATATATGTAACATACCTTACTTCTTTTCACTTCCCCTTCCCCTCCCTGCTCTTCCATCTCTTGGTCCCTTTCCCATCAACCTGGTATTTTCAAATCTACATACATCACCAGATACATTTGTTTTTCCTTAATTTTACCATTTAGCTTATAGTTAAAGGGCACCACTATTAACCAGGCTGTTCATACTAAAACTTGAGCATCACCTTCAACACTTCTTCCTCATGCTCTGCTTTTTAACAATGACCAGACAGTGCAATATAATTTTAGTGAAGATGAAAAGCATACAGCCTTGATGTTCCCTACTCCTCTATCTTAATACACTGATTGACTCATTGTGGGCATTTGAATTAGAAATCTCTAACAAGCCTCTAGTTTTGCCTTCTTCAAATTCATTCTCTCCTCTGCAGCTAAGTTATAAACTGGAAATCCGGCCTCATTACACTTTTGTTCCATGCCCTTTAACTATTATACCCTTCTCAACTTAAGAAACTGTTCAAATGAATGAATATGACACACGTTTTTAAAAGTCCCATTTTCTTGTCTAGTTCTTTCTCCAGTCTTTCCTTATTAGTTCTCTACTCAAGTTAAACTGAACTACCTACAATTTAGTACTTTGTAGCCTTTGCTAAGGCCACCCATCCCTCTATCTATTTACTTGTCTTTCTTCTACTCATATAGTTCAAATCTTAGCTTAGGTGACTCTTCCTCCAGGAAATGTTCCTTGAACCTTTAAAACTGGGTTAGGCACCATCATACGTGTTCCCACAGTACCCTGTTCCTACTTTATTCCATAATTTACTGCATTGCACAGTCTTTCAGCTTGCTCACCACTCAACAGCTCCTTGAAGAGACCTATCATCACATAGGTATAGATACCTACAACAGTATCGAACAGTTATCAACATTCAAGAAACTGACACAAGGAGAGCTGACTACAATTCATGAGGGACAGTGAATACAAAGCTGCTGACCTGAGCACTTATTTAGAAAAATAAACATTATGCTCACATGTGGCAAGTTTGTAAATTTAATTCATTCTACCTCCTCAGAACCAGAGGCCTAACTGATATGAGTTCCCATTCCTCACCACTTCTAGGGGAAAGGCAAGGTTTCCAAGATTTCAACTGTGTCTTCAAAGGCTGGAATTGGATGTTTGTTGACTCTTGGGAGGTTCTGAGAAAAGTCAAATCCTTCCATGGCACTGCAAATCCCTGAGGATTAGGTGGGACCTAAAATCAGTAAAATATGGTTAGCTTTGTGAGAAAATCCCCAGGCAAACTGCTTAGTAAAAGCCAACAGATCAACAAGAATAGATGCAGATGAAGGATAAGGGGAAAAATTATTTATTCCCCGGAGACAGGTACTGCCCGGTCAATCACTTCAGGGACATGCAGAAACATGTAATTTCTCATCCCACTGTTAGGATACTACATGGTCCAGGCTGTAAATTTCTTTTCCCACAATACATCCTTCTCTCTGTTCCCACCTGCTGCCCTGGATCATCAAACTCTCTCTCCAAATCCTCCAACAGGTTCACAGCTTCCTCACCACTTCTTGGACTCTGCTGCTGAACCCAGATCTGCAGCTCCTCAGGCAGGATGCTCAGGAACTGTTCCAGCACCAGGAGTTCTAGGATCTGCTCCTTTGTGTGCAACTCTGGCATTAACCACTGATAGCACAGCTCCTGGAGTCGGCATAGGGCCTCCCGGGGCCCAGGTGTCTCATGGTAGCAAAACTTTCTGAACTGCTGTCGAAACAGTTCTTGGCAGGACTGGGTATCCCCATTCTGTTTAAATTTTGGACCCCAGGAAAAGCTATCTTCTATTTTCACTAGTAGTAATCCTTGTTCTGGATGATCGTGAGGTATCAGAGTTGAAATTATACTGGAATCTTCAGCCATTCTGGCTGAAACAGCTTAGCAAAAAAGCTCAGTACAACTGGGTTCTGTGCTTCAGAGTTTCTTTGAGTAATTTCTTCGTTCCTAAAGGATATAAAAGCACTGTTAACTTAGAGAAGGAAAAAAAATCTCTGAGAACTTTGAATAAAAAGTCGCTCCAGTAATGCTAAAAAGGAGCAGGTGCAAGACTGTAACTAAATAAACAATAACGAAATGATAAACTAAAAATCATCCACCTCATTACAGGAAATTATTTTAGAATACAGTATTAATGTGAACCACACAATGAGAAGGTAATTTCCTTTTAAATTCTTTCAATCCTGATTAAAACAAGAAGTCTTCAATATGAAAGTTAAACTTTCATTAACTTTTTAATAAAATTTAGAACTCATACTTCCAAGGGTAATAAATAACATCCAGCTACTTTTTTTTTTTTTGGTACTGGGGATCGAGCTCAGGTCCTTGTGCCTGCGAGGGAGGTGGTGGAACCACTGAGCTAAATCCTTGGCCCTTCCAGGTACTGATTTTTAAAATTTACTTGTAGTTACTTCTTACCTATACAGGGTTAATTTTCACTTAAGGCAGTGAAACATTTTTAAAAACTCATGTCAAACTTGAGTTGACTTAAATATTATGGGATATTCACCACTTGGTCGCAACCGGTATTTACTGAATTTCTTGAAGCAACACTGAAGCACTTACTATGGCTCTGTCCTGAGCAGGCATTAGGCTGAAAACATTTTTGCTCCTAAATGAATCTACGGAACGTATAACGAAGTAATTGTAAAACGCTGCGCATGTGTTCAAAACCATGTTATCACAGGCACTAAAAAGGTCAACCTAAGCTCTCAAAGCAGTACTTTGAGAGTAAAAAAAAAAAAAGGGTGGGTTTGGTCACAGGCGCGCATGCCCTTCAGTTCAGTCAGCAGAACTTATGAGCAAAACCGAATCCTACCTAGGACTCCGGTTAATACTGCGGTCAATCCGAGATCAGTCAGAATATTTAGGCTACATATCTCTGGTTTACTAGGAGCCCGCAGCACTAGGCCCTATGTCTTTATTATTATTATATCATTATTACTGGCTACACCACAGCATTGGCGGAGTCACGGGAGTAGGGAAACGGCAGCGCTCAAACCGCAGATCACGGAGCCGCGACCCGGGACCGCCAGGCTGAGGATGGGACTTCCTCCACCTCTAGTCCGTGCCAGTGCTGTGCGTCCACCCTGCCCTCCCTCCGCCATGGGGCCCGCGTCCCTCACCGCGAAGCCTAGAAGCCGCCAGGGCCCAAGCTGCAGACCCGAGGGGCCAGCCACAAAGACCGGAAGTGCGCCCGGCGGCCTTCCGCTCGCGAACCCGGCAGCCTCTGCCCGCCACGCCCCTTTCTCGAAATCAGCCAATCAGCGCCGTGGGTTCTACTCTTCCTATCGCTTCCCGGCTGTTTGGCTGCCCGAGTGCAGAGTGCCGCGAGAGGGTGCCCTGAGGAATGTAGCTGTTAAAAGAAAGGAGGTATATCAGTTAAAAATACTTTCCATTGCACCAATGGAAACTTTACTAAATGTCTTTATTATTAAACCTTTAAAAAAAACTTACATAACTATTTTCATGGAGTAGAGGCCATTCCTAGGTTGGCTAATTCAGTATCTTGGCGCTATTGTCAAGGACCCAGGCTCCTGCCTTCTTTTTCTGCCATCTTCCACTGTGTTGTTTGGTCTCCAGTCTGATTCGCCTTATGGCCATAAAGTAGCTCTTTCAGTTCCAAGTTATAGATACGGGCAGCAGAAAAGAAGGTACCCCACCGACTTTTATCCTTCTTCCCCCTTTTAAGGAAACCCTCTTCTCACCTCAGATTTTCCCCCTTATGCCTCATTAGCTAAGATTGCTTCAAGTACTTGCACCTAGGAAAGGGAGCTGAGGCCTTCATGATGGGCATAGGCAGGTAAGTGTCCTATCCGAGTGCTGAGAAGAGGACCAGCATCTTCTGAAGATGCAGACCCTATGGGGAAAGTATATGAAATAGCATATTTGTTTTTTTTGTACTAGAGATTGAACCCAGGACCTTTGCACTGAGCTACACCCCTAGCCAATTTTTAATTTTGAGACAGAGTCTCTAAGTTTTTGAGGCTGGGCTAGAACTTGCGTTAGAGGTTGTGACTGCTTTAGGTTCTTCTGTGTGGATCTTTTGAGGAATTGTTACGGCAGCCAGGGCCCAGGGGGCTGTATGTGTCAAACCACAATGTAAATGAGATTATTATTCATTATAATTGAGTGAAGGTCACTTTTGGTTAAGGTGTTCTGTAGTTCATGTGTCTCTGGGCATGGCTTAGTTGTTAGAGGTGGGCACTGTTTGTGGTTTCTAGAGAGGTTGTTTTGGGCCTCCTGGAAACTTGAGTGCATGCACCCTCCTGTCTTTACTGCTTTGGTGGAGATATTAGAAACTCTACGGTTTGGGGGAACCAGTTTGCTCTTTCCCCATCTGCTCTTCAGACACCATCCGTCCAGGAATTTCTCCTTTCTACCCCATGGTTTCACTCTGCTTTAGCCTCCCGAAGTGCCCTGCCTCTGGCCTAGGTTAGCATGTTTAGAAGCAGAGGAGGGGGGTAAGTAGATGAATGTTGAGCATGCAACAGTAGCGTCTACAGTATTTCTCCTTTAATGACCCACCTGTTGAAGGACTGTTCAGACTTAAGACCTGCCGCTCAGACGTTCACCTCATTTCATTATACCTATATTTATTTATTTAATTTTTTTTTGGTACTGGGGATCGAACTCTGGTCCTTGTGCTTGCAAGGCAGGTGGCAGAACCACTGAGCTAAATCCCTGGCCCCATTATACCTATATTTGTGGTAAGCTGGATATGTTTAAAAATTAATTTGGTTGCTTTGAGCTTATAGTATTGCTTACATTCTTTTGTTGTAGCAATTATTACTAGGAGAGTTAGGTTATTATTATTATTTTTTTTGCAGAAAAGTGAGTTTATTGAATACTCATCAGATTTTTGTTTGATAGTGTCTAATGAGAAATTCATATTAAGTCTTATTGATAATGAATGGATAGATAATTCATATATGACCTAATATTACCTTCAGCCCTCCTGAGTGCCAGTCAAATACACAGCTTTAAAAAATATTCAGTATGTGTGCTGCCAAAGCGAGCACTTAAAAAGTATTCAGGGGTTGCAACCTAATTTGCTTATCTTATCATGCTTTTTAAAATTAATTATTTTCTGTTTTTATGACAAATTATACTGCTGTAGGTAGTACAACTTTTCTTATAAATGTCTACTTCTTTTGGTTATATATATATAT